TTACTCTATAAATACTATGTTATTTTTAAATCTCTTATAAATGCACGAAAATTGTCTGCCGTAGTCTAATGATAATTAATTAATAACATATCAAGGATAAGAACTTTTAAATTTTAATAATATACGGGAATAGCTGAAAGTTGATAAATATGTTATAATTAAATAAAATAAAATTATATTAAAAAGTAATTTCCAATACATTGTCTTCTTAGTTTCACGATAGATTCGTCAAGTTGAGGATCGGTAAATAGTACGTGTCTGGGATATTAAATAACCGCGTGGGAGTTTAGTAGCCTAAGAATAGAGGGGCAAGAAATGCAGAATCGTAGAGTTTTGGTCCCTGGGTTTATCATTTTTACATATATACGTAAGAATAAATTTCGGGAACTTCATTCTTACGGCTGATTTCAGGTCAGGTCGAAGGAGCAAGAGTTTATTTATCGAAGCTTCATTTACAGAAGATTCGCTGCCGAAACGAATGTGACAAAACAGATAAAAATTTTGAGTACCGATTCTTTCTTTCTTTTTTTTTCTTTTTTTTTTTTTTCATTTTGTTCTGTAAGTACTTTACTCGACAATGTTTTTTACGTCAGCGAAAGCTGTTTGCTCTTTCGAACTTTTTCCTTTCGAAATTCCAAAATGCAAACTAACTGCAGATTTAAACTTTTGTGAATATAATTAAGGAAATGGAATTTAACCAGAGATTTCTTTCACGTAGTAAATGTTATGAGTATTGTACTCTCGATATATAAAATAAAATATAAAATATCAGAAGTAGAATATTCATTATAATAATATATGAAAGTATAAATTCAGGGTATGATATTTCAGAATGTTCTCTACAAACGTTGACGATTTATTCATTTTAATTCGGGTCCCTTATTCGTTATTCGAAGATACAATTTTCCTCGAAATAGATATCAGCTCAGTAAGTACATAGATGTTTCTCTAGCTATTTTGTATCTAAATATATCGTGGAAATTTGTAAATAGTAACTAGATTCATGTGTCGTAAATTTAAGCGCCATGCCATGATTCATAAGAAACCGAATGAAAGGAGAATAAAACGAATTTCTTACAATACAATATAATTTCTTCTCAAAAATGTGCAAAGTAGAATTAAATAATATTAAAGTATATACATATAATTTCTTCGTTCGTATCATAACAAGGTTATTTTGCATATAGTTGAGCTAATATTTTCAATGTAGCTGTACAAATTACAAGTTAATAGATATTAATAAATATTCTCCTAGAATTATAATAAATTGTAAATTGTAAATTTAAGCGAACACTGAATGCGTATAATTCATCATGAATCAATATAATAGAAAATTTTCATGTACGACTCTTTTCAATCAGTTTACGTTATCAATCTTCATTTTTAATATTGAGACTATGGAAGAGAATTTCTTCAAGCATTATAATTTCATAAAAATTGAAATTATTTGTAATATTTATTGCTTGATCCTTAACAGTAATAATATCCAAAAATAAGATACATTTAATGTGTTCGATTAAAGCAAATCTCTATTTCAGTTCTATTTTTCTAGCTATGATCGTAAAAGATATAATTCGCGATTTACTTTAATCAACAGGATCTAACTAATCAAGTTTGAAACTGTGCT